CCGACGGCTTACGAGGATCCCAGTCAGGTGTGAAGCTTTTTTTTACTTTTTAGGGGGGCGACACGCACGCATGCGAACTCACGCGAACATCGCGTGCTCACGCTCATCTTCACATACGCACACGTACGCACGCATGCAAGGAAGCGTGTGTGTGCGTGTGTGCATAGACAATAAATAATGAATAATTAATTATGATAATTATTAATAATTAATTATGTGATAATTAATTAAGGCTCTGTCGCAGTTTGCCAATGACGTGGACGCGTCGTTAATTAGAATCACGGAGGTAATTGGTAGTGGAGAGTTCGGTGAGGTTTGTAGAGGCGTTTTGCAGTGTGCACAGTCGACTACTGGCACAGGCTTCGATATGAATCAGGTTTGGTTTATTATTACTATTATTATTATTATCATTTTTATATTGGTGTATTTGAAGATCATTATTGTTATTGATTATGATCGATCGATATTAGTATGATCGATATCATTTGAAATGTTTACCAGGCATTTCATTTCAGATTCAGACGGTGGCCATCAAAACGCTGAAGCCTGGCAGCAGTGAGAAGTCAAAAAGTGACTTCCTTACAGAGGCTTCAATAATGGGGCAGTTCCAGCACGAGAATGTGATACGTTTGATTGGCGTCGTGACCAAGAGTGAACCGGTCTGTAGTTATTTATTATCGTTGTTATTATTATTGTTATTGTTATCGTTTGTCATATTGCTGGCTTATTGTTTTGTAATTTGAAGTAATTAGTGTGATTAATAATTACAGGTGATGATTATAACGGAGTATATGGAGAACGGCTCATTGGATCAGTTTTTGCGCAAACACGATGACGGTATGTTGGGCGTAAGGCAGATCGTCGATATGTTGAGGGGTATAGCGGCTGGAATGAAGTATCTGACCGAGAAGGGCTTTGTGCATAGGGTTGGTTGGTTTCTGTTTTGTTTAATATTAGTTATTGTTGCCTGTGGGATTGTGCTCAAACGAGGAAATTGCGTCTTCAGGATCTGGCCGCACGGAATGTGTTGGTGGATGCGGAATTGCGTTGTAAAATCGCGGATTTTGGACTGAGTCGGGGCTTGGTTGAGGGTAGCGTCGAGCAGGAGTACACGACGAACGGAGGCAAGATTCCGGTGCGGTGGACAGCGCCCGAGGCGATCACACACCGAAAATTCACGGCCGCATCGGACGTTTGGAGTTTTGGCGTTGTGATGTGGGAGGTTAGTGTGATGTAGTGTTATTGTTTATTATTATTATTATAGTTAAAATTGATATTCATACGTGATATTGATGAAGTTGTATAATATGGATGCAGTAAACTTAAGGTATGTTCGTTTGGTGAACGGCCTTACTGGGAGTGGACGAATCAGAAGGTGATCAGCGAAATCACGTTGGGTTATCGTTTACCAGCGCCCATGGACACACCTCAGACACTGCACAATCTCATGATGACGTGCTGGAATATCGATAGGCATAAAAGGTTTTTTAAAATATTTTTTAAATGAGTAATTACCGATAAGTGATAGCAGTAATATGTAATACTAATGATGATAAATATTATACGTATAGGTGGATAAATAATGAAACTGTTTAAAAAATAATGGAGAATGTCTTTTCAGGCCGACGTTCGCGTATATTCTGCAAACGCTGGAGCATTTCGCCAAAAATCCCGAATTGATATATGCCGAGGAGGCGGGGCTTATGTCGTCGCCAGGAACGATGATGAACAATGGCACGGGAACGGCGTTCGGGTGGGTTTTTCGTACCCATTATTATTTATTGTTTTTTGTGAGTAATAATAGTAATTACTATTACTATTATCATAAATAGTATCGAAGTAAGGTGCTTTGCAGGGCCACGTATATGTCGATGGGGATGATCGGCCAAATGGGCGGGGCAATGGTGTCGACGA